CACTTATCCATGGTGGTTTACATTAAGGTTTTATTTATAAGTTAATTGATAAATGTCACTAATAAACTAAATACAAACATGTACATGTAATGAGTAAACACAACAACACAACTTTTTATAATTTATACTGCAGTAATGTATTATTTCTGGTATCCAATAACAATAAAGTGACATAATAGACACAAGAAGCAAAATAGTTTTATTTGATGTAAATATAACTAGAACTGGAACTGAAACTAATACTCGATTGACAGTAAATAATATGCAATTATTTTGATATTTGATTGATCACTTAAGTTATTTTTCAAGTAAAATTGTCAAACAATCATTTCCAGGCACTGACGGGTATTTTTCATTATTTTTTTTACATGTTTTAGATATGCCATGTTCATCCACAAATACAACCAGCTAAATTTGTACCTTACTGCAATTACCTCTTGAAGCCTGTACGATCTATTTATAGGGACCTACTTAAATGGAACAAATGTAGCCTGATAAAATACAGGGAAATGTGATTATCGGTACTTAACACATGTATATATTTTTTTCCCCCATCAGACCATGTTATTTGAATTATGAAAAAGTCTATTTATTTATGGAGAATGTTCACTTGCCTGCAACCTACAATATTTGGGAATGCAGTTTAACTTTTGGGACTTTAAGCTTTCATTTTATAGTAATTTATCCATTTAATGTAACTATTTGTTGTGTACTTATAATTGTTACTATAGTGTTATACTTTTCCAGCACCATGTATTTGATGATTGAGACTGTCACATAGAAAATTGCATTGTGTTTTGTGCTTATGCCTTCCTACTGCACGTTGGGGAATTGATTGCAGGTGTACAGCCACTCCCTATTAAAGATGGCTTCTCATTGTCACAAACCATTTGCCTGAGGAAGGTCTATCACCAAAACGTCAGATGTATGTATTATTGCAAGTTAGACAAAAGCACCTTTTGATAGGCCAAACAATATCAATTACTTGAGAGATTATTTTAGATTAATCAATAGTGAAAAATATATTAGTTGCAGGCCTACATATGAAATTAGACCATCTACATATACATACACAATTTCATGGCTATTTTTAGTTAGTTTACTTTGTTGGTGCACTGTTCAATTTGACTGTGGTATTGTCAATTTCAAAACAACCCAAACAAAAGGAATCAAACGCTGTAGGGTTCATTTAACCGGTTCAAACATGGCAGGTGTGAAATCACTCTGTGCCCCGTGTGGGAAAAACGAGAGGCCCTTCACCCGGCGGGACTGACACAAGCTGCCCATGAGTGAGTCTCATCTTAACAATCAATTAATGGATGAGATGGCTCTGACACTGTGGCCTGCAGCAGGTCGGGTGTTTAAACTCTGTCAGTGCTGATGCTAGTGATGTACACGTCTAATCTCAACACATGGCACATTATTAAAAGCATTCAATGATGAATGATAAACAAAAATCTAATCATTTTAAAACAGTTGCAGTGGTGATGATTATTTGTGTAAGTCTAAATATGTCAACACCACTTTGTTTGCAGTAAAACAGGGAGCAAATCCTCTATATTTAATACTGTAGAGTGTTATGGTGGTAGGGAAGTATTTCCTGCACAGTTTTCCCCTTGTTTTAGAGAAATGTGTCAGTAAGGGAAGCACTTCATCTGAGAGAACAAATCACTCCCTGCTGTCTTGCCAACAAACTGGAGCAGAATAGAGGTCACATTCAAAAGACCATACACACGTTCTCAGTGGGTTGTGGCACTCATTTCATTCTCTAGATAATAAATCTCTTCAGTCAAATAAATATGCCAACACAGTCTAAATGACGGGCTACAGCTATCCACAATCAGACATAAGCTGTGACCCAATTTTATACCGCACTAAACTAAATCTAAGCAGGTTTTTGAGGATGTAAAAGGAACACAATAAAGTATGCTTAACGCAATGACTAAAAATACGTGACAGACAATATTCTACCACAATGAACTACATAAAGAAAATGGAGGAGCTGTTTACGGCTGGAAAAATACAACTTATTAAGTCGAGATAATAAGAACACATTCTAAAGGTGTATGAATCCAAAGAGCCACAGATCGGACGTCATTATCCAGATAATGTACCCTAATACAGATCACTTGTTAATACCAGGTGTAAATGGATTCTGAAACTGAAGCAGTTATTGAAACTTTCATTTTATTTTTTACTTCTGATTGAGACATGTTGAAAGAGGTGTACTCCTAAAAATGTAACAGTAAGTTTTACTTAGTTTGTTAAGTTAGTCAACTGATCTGTGGCGGCTCAGATGTGTTGGGTCAAAAAAGAATGGTTGAATGTGCAACAGGGAAGTTCAAAGGACCCTGTTACTCTGCTGCCAAAATTATCAAAAATGATCAATAAATTGTGTCAAGTCCGTCAACCCTCTTGAGTCTGCATCACAGAGGAAGTCACTGCAGAGCACTGCACAGAGTCTGCATGGTTATGCCATATGCATATCAAAAATGTGGATGGGGTGTGGAGTATGGCCCGAGTCGGCTTTTCAGTGACAAAGTAACACTAGTGTTGTTGGTGATATTGCACAACACATAAACCATAGGTTCAGCTGTTTGCTTTTCTTTTGGGTTATTTAAGCAGGAAGCAGGAAGTAAGTCCAACCATAAGACATCTCAACTGATAAATAAACTGTACCAAATCATCCCATGTGAACTATTAAGTACACCATATTTACTGTCTGCCTTTTAATGGTCAGAAATCTGTAGAAAAAAAGTAGTGTCTATGCCATGTACGCTACTTTTTCTGCTATAAATCACCCAATGCAATGCTTCACATTTTATAGAAAAAATTATAGATGTGCGACACTAAACCTGTCAGTAATGATGCAGAATGACGATGATTTTTAAGTGTCTGAAATATCAATTTACTGATCACTATAAAGACCTTTATAACAGGGTGTACTGAACAGCTCTTGTCTCTGCTAACTCCCTCTGTAAACCTCTGGAGGATACGTAGCCATGTGTCTGCTCCCATATGGAGTCACAAGTTGCTTATTTTCACCTTTTAGAAAGGGGGTAAAATACACAAAACTATGTCCGCATCAGAAAGCTGGACAAAAAGTTGTCTATTGACCCAGATTTCTATAAAAATTAATGCAATTAACGTCAGAGCTCCTGATCAGTGAGTCAGGAGGTAAAGGTTTGTTGCTGGATACTGGAAAGTCAAAAATAGGTAGATCACACACACACACACACACACACACACTCAGTTTTTTATGCTCTGGATCAGTCTCACACCTTTAAGTATGAATGATGATCTGTAAAGGCTATTATCTGACACAGAAAAAGTCAATAACATTCTGATGATAACAAAATGAGGTTGAAGTGAAGGAGAAATTAAAAAATGGATATAGTTTTAATTTAATTTCATGCACTGTGTTAGATTGGAGCAGCTAAATATGTGTGGTAAGCCTACATAGAGAAACAGCCTCATAAATCAACATTAAAAAGTGCCATCTTATTGGCCAGTTTTTCATTAGAGGCTTTTTCTTTTTTTTTTTTTTGGAGTGCTGATTGATCAAGCCAGTCAGCATGGCAGAGTGACACAGGTGGTGGTGAGTGAAGGTGATTAATGGCCCCTCGTCAAAACAGGTGTGCAGAAAATGCTTGGAAAAAGGCGAAGGGCTCTTCTGGAATAGTAAATATATACTGAATGCATAAAACCTCCTCATGGTTTGCAGATGTGAATATTTGCAACATCGTGACAGAGAGAGTATACTACAAGTCAAAATAAATGAACACCTGACCAAACAAGGTGTATTAGGTATCAGGGTACAGTTTCAGTCTATTGAAAGACTTTTTTTTCTTTTAGTTCTTCTACTGGGAACCCTGTTTTTCCAGAACTTGCAGCGTCAGTGCAGAGGAGAAACAAAGCTTTTCTGACAGGTTGTGGTGGCTCCAAACCTTATATTTTTTGCTTTCTGCAGCACAAAAAACCAATAGCAGTCTAAAAGCAAGACCCAGTAACTTCACTGTGACATGTACCAACACACAACAACAGCAGGTATTGGGGCAAAACTGCAGCAAAAAGAAAGCATGAGGCTCAGAAACAAAGCAGTGTGTTCTACCACTTGTACAGACCCTCTATGGAGGAAAATTGATTAAAATACTGCAGATGACAATAACAGAACCACTGACAATACAACAGCCCTACAGTAAATACCAATTTGAAGAAGTTCATAATGTTCTGTTTTTGTTCAGATTTTTTGTTTGTTCATTTTGAGGCAGTTTATAGTCTTATCACGCAAATATAGAGGTATGAGTCTTTCAGTCAATGTTGGTTAGGGTCTACATTTTCTTCTTCTCTGGTTATGAATCTTTCTTTGTCACAATTTTTAACTAAAAGAAAGGTGTAATTAATAAGGTAAATGATGGCTCTGGTCCATTTAGGTGCTCCAGTTCCAGGGCTCTGGCATTGTGCGTGATGTCTCACTGGCATGGCTTACTGGGACACTTCATTAATGTTATTAGTTACATCTATGCATTGACGAGTCAAAATGTGGGGTGGCAAAGGTCATTTCGTGTAGGGACTTCATGGCCTACTTCTGTCTCTTTAAGTTGCCTTAATTTGACTTGAAATGTGCTATAGATGAGATCACAACAGCAGCTGAGCTCACTTGTCAATTAATAATAATAAGCCATTATAAGCTTTATAAATGTAGCAGAGTTGTTGTACTGGATTGTATAAGAGTGAATTTTGCAAGAGAGACCCTAATACAGCAGGAGTGAATTAGAAGTAAATTCCAACAAGGGGATGACATGTTTTGATGAGTCATTTGTGTCAATTTATATAGTAAAAATATTATACATAATAACTAATAGTATCCTGACGTAGTATAGTACGTACCAGCGCTCCACGCTACTATATATATATAGAAAGCAGTCTTTCCAGGTTCAGTTAGATTAAATCAGCATGTATATATTTATTTTTTAGTATTGAGACTATAAAATCTCTACCTGTGCTGACAGCCTTTGCCAGTCGGCGCAGCCTCCTCTGGTGCGTCTTCCCTCTGTAGTGGATCTGGGCCTGGGCGCTGGAGTTCAGCTGTATGTTGCACACCTGGCACATAGTGGCACTGCTGCTGCTTTGACGGACTCGTTTGGCCCTGTGCCCTGTCGACACCCTCTTCTCCTCTTCATCTTCCTCGTCTTCTTCCTCCTCCTGTTCCCCCTGACTCTTGGGAGGAGGGCTGCCGTCCAGCCAGTCGGGGCTCTTTGGACGCTTCATATCTGGGAAAAAGATCACGGAAAGGTCACGGAGGTTGTTAATCAGAAGTGTTGAAAACTCCTCTTATGAGACGTTTCATTGTAAATGTTAGGTGTGTGTGTTATTAAAGCCTCCACAGGGGGGCAACAGAGCAACATGACTCCCTTCAGAGCAGAGCAGTATTGGTGTTTTTCTTCAGTGCGATTCAAACTGCAATTTTAAAGTACACCATCATTATAGTTCATTGTACCAAACAGAACATAGGCAGACAAAGGATGCTTCTCACTTGGATTTATCTGCATCAGTCAGCACGTACAAATATCAATATATAAGAATTGTTAAGTATCTTCGACATCCCATTAAAAGCCTTGAATTAAGAGGACAGTATACTCGGTCAGAAGGTATAAACATTTCTTTTCTAGTATAGCTTAGACATCCATTAGCTGAAAAGAAAGAAAGGCCTATCTCTGCCACACATCACAGCATTACAACAGAGACGTGTACAGTCTGTAGATAAGCATCTTGTTCCAGCTTCTCTCTATTTATTGGATAATAAAAGCTGATTCCTGGGGTACACAGACCGACATGTTTCTTTGTGAGAGCACACAGCCTTAATACCTGTAATGGCTGAGTGATTGTGGCAGACTGACAGCATAAATCAAGCTGGAGCTAAACGCGAGCTCTGCTGTGAATGTGGAAATGTCACCCGAAGTCTAACTGAATTCTTTGTTTTGGTGCTGTTCATATGATAATGGAATCCAATTAAGTCCTCATGGTGTTGGACATTTTATCCTCCGCCTCGCTGAATGCTACCCCCCTCTACTCTCCCCCTTCACCAAACAGAAACCATCATTTGTAAAATCTTTGCGGTTCTAAAAATTCAATTTGACTGGTGGTGAGATGAAAGTGAAATGGAAATTTGTTCGCTGGAATTCATCAGCCTCCAACCAGCAACATGGACTTCAAAGCTGCAGCCCATCACCGTGATTATTTGAATGACGTTTTACTACAGTCTGGCTGCTGGATGGGGACATGAGTAACTGCTTTAACACAAACCGGTGTTATCTCCCCCCCCCCACCGACCTTGACCACAACAAACACATGCTAAAACATACAAAGTCTCTTAAAATAGTCATTAACGTCCATCACCATTTCCAAAAGCCAGGGACGGACTACAACATGACAAGCAGCAGAGTTTAACCCAGTGAAGCCTAACACATACAGCGCACAAATACCAAGCGGCCCCTGGCTTCTTAATAGAAGATGCATTTTAAGGCTACACAGGTAATAGACCTTCTTCCCAGCAGCCATTTTGACATAAAATAATAGGGTAAACACAGGTGTTACCAATGATACTAATTAAGGTTTCATTCAGGTCCAACAGAGTCATGGTGCTGCTGTTGTGCATGTTGGCTCACTGGACTCACTGAATGGACCTTAATTAGTATCATTGGTAATGCCTGTGTTTACCCTACTAGTTATGTCAAAATGGCTGCTGTAAAGAAGGTCTATTGTGCAAATCAGGTTCGGTAACACTTAATCATAATCAATCAATCCTTTCTCTTGGGGAATACGTTTATACACGACTAAAGAACGTATTTTTCTTTCATTCTACCAAAATATCTGATCCTGCCATAGAGTACCCATTCGTACTGACTACAGCATTATTGAGCATTTTATGTATTTTTTGTTTAAACAACAAAAGCACTTTGGTTAAGGTTCATGGTCTTGGTTTAACACAAAAAAAGTCCACACTCCACAGTGACTTAAAGCATGACACACAACGTTATTATTAACATTTAACCAAAATCTTTCCTGAACTTTGTTTGTGCTTTTGTTGCCGAAACCTAACTACAGAGAGGACTCAGGATGCAAACTCTCTGTAGTCAAAGTCCTGGGCAATGTGGGGCCGACCATCCACCCAGCCCACCTCCCTTACTGCAGAGGAAAACGTCAACTTTGGACGATTAAAACATTTTCCTATTTTATCACTTGGATAACATCTCTGCTCGGCTGTGCTTTCTCTGTGTGCTGGCACTGCTCGGCGAGGCTATTTATGGTATAACCGATAAAAAAATCCTGACATTGGAAAAATCCTGTGTTTGCTAAATCATCTTATAATGATGATTTCTTCTGGTGAGTGGGTTGTAAACAATGAAGGAGGTGTGACAACAGGTTCCAAACATAAGAACAAGACATGGAGGGGTAAAGGAGAATTATTTTTTTTACTAATGTGAATAATAATTGAAAAATGTGTTTAAAGGACAAGTCCTGCCAAAAGAAATATCAATCAGAGCTCCCGCTGTTGCTCTGTGGCCTGGACGGCTGATGAATTTGTTTCATATTTAGTTATAATCCAAAAAATAATCATCTTTAACTGCCAAATTCAATTATTTTTTATTTGCTGCCCAGGCCGAGGCAGAAATATGCAGCTGCTCTCTGGCTTGAGTTGGAAAATGTTTCTCAGTTCTGTCAGACAGCGGATAAGAGCTCAGACTTTTGCTCTTGCATCCAAAGTCTTTTGTCAGTAAATGGTCTGCTGTCTCAGAACAGTATTGATGAGTAGACAGCAGACAGGGTCAGTTAGAGGGAGGTGTGGGCTGTCGCTTTAAAGGTGGTTTGCATTGACAAGGTTCTTCTATTCAGGGATGAAATGGAGGATAAAACTGTAAATTCTTGCAATATATAAATATTTTATCTGTTTTGTCTCTTTTTGTAAAATGTTTTTTAAGTTATCAATGTTGATTATTATGCACCGTCCCCTATAAACGAAAACAAAATTAATACCACGACCTTCTAGATTGACAAAAGGTTTCTGTATTCCTCTGAAACTGTGAATTAAACATCATTATAGAGCTTAATAATCTCACTTTCTAGCTTTCTTCATTATTGAAAAGAGTTTTCTTAGTTGTCATGGAGGGACGACTACACAAACTCTATTAGATGAGATGTTGTGTTGAAAGCTAGCTAGTGAGCCTTGTATTAAGATAATTTTGTCAAAGCATTTAAAAAAAACTCTGAGACCGAGATATTTAAAGTAAATAACAGAAAAATAAACATTTTTACATTAAAAATTTTACCCACTGTTTTTAGTGGAACCACATAACAGTAACCAAGCCAAACAGGGCCCAAAATTAACACCAGTGCCAAATGCCGGTTTGGCTTTGGCCAAAAAATAAACTGGGGTCAACAGACAGATGGCCAATAATTTGGGGTCAAAGCGTAGGGCAAAGTTTGCATCGCTGTTTATTCTGTGTACCGCTCACTGTCCGTCTGACCTATCGTGATCTGAATCACATTGAAGCAGCTCACTACTATTTGGCCCTTGCTATATTTTTGCCGTAAGAATCATCCGAATGCTTACGTTAGAAGGGATGTGGCAACAATACTGGTGTTAAGCCACCAAAAAGAAAACATGAAGATGAAGAGAAAAGGCCCAGAGGTCAGTGTTTTTGCGAGAGGTGACGTCTGAATGACACAAGGCTCCAATATTTAGCCCAAAACCAGATGATGTAGTTTTATGGCGAGTAAACAATATTTTTGGCTGGTAAATTTTTCTCAGTTTACCTGCCATTGGCAGATTAGCTAAAATGTTATTGACATTTACTGTAAACATACATACATGTCAGATTCTGGGGCCTTATGAAGAAGAACATTGTCCTAGATGATGAAAAAGTAAAATCTTATTAGTGATATAAAGTATAGTTTACTTCCTGTGTTAATATGTCTGCCTGCTTTACTTTTGTGTTTTTTATTTGTGAATTCTATATTGTGAAATCTAAACTCTTTTCTCTCCTCTTTTTCTGAGAAAAATAGTTAGCAAATTATCTTAAAATTGATAGCCCCCGATTTGGTTATTTATCTAAATGTTGAATGTGTATGCTCTTCAGGTGGCTGACCCAAAGTCCTGGCACTGTTTTTATTCCAAGTCAAGCACTGTTTAGCAGATGTTTATGCTAATGCATAAAACTGTACACTGAGGCCGCAAGTGTAAACCCTCTATCACACTGGAACCACCCAAGCTGCTCCACTCACTCATCTTTATGTGGTCAGCTGGAGTTGGCACCTGACAGCCCCATTACAAAACAACTTTTAACAGGTTGCCAGCAGCTGCTGGTTTCTGCTGGCACTCTGTACCACAGCCAGGGCTTCTCTGCCTAACTGGCACCCGAATGAGCAACTGGAACCAGCCCAGTCCTCTACTATGCACCAAATGGCTAAAGTTACTGGTGCTCCACAGAGCAAGCTGTGGTGCCTGTAGCTGAAAGTGCATGGAGTGGTCACTTAGAGTGGAAACAAAACGTTTCACAAAAAAAATATATTAGCTTTTCATTTCACCAGCTTAACTTAACGTCCTTCAAAATGTCCTATTTAGATCAGTGACGTAGTGGATGATACACTGGTGGAAAAGTTCTTGCAAACTCTGACTTTGTTCTTTCAATTATAATACACAAAAAAGTCAATGTTACCATTTTGTATATGAGTTCATTGTAATCTGCAAGCATTAGGCATCGCACAGTTGTTTTTTATATTCTGATCTTGTGATTGTGCCAAGTTACCACAAAGAGCTTTGAGGTTGATCTTAACATGGAAAGTGAAACCCAAAACAATGTTCTCTGTAATGTTATCTCTATGGAAGTAAGATTTTTACAATCCATAATTATAGAAATAATAAAAAAATGTGTACAAATGTGTGTCCCATAACAACTACACTCAACCAATTATTGTACACACTTTTCATTTCTTAATTTGAAAAGAATAAAAGGTATGTTAGAGTATGTTGTGTTATTGAATTCCCACTATAACCAACAATATTTCCAAGCTATAAAAAAGATAAAAGCCTACACTGTGCTGTTCCTCTGGCTCCTCCATTGATTAATTTGATGTGTCATCCTAACTGTTTTTTTAGGTGTCAGGTGTGAGTTTTAAATTAACTAATTAATTCACTTCTGTGGATGTTCTAATGATATCAATAAAGTAAACCTAAATTGGACAAATTGACAATTTAAACAGGCTTAACTTGGATCCTTTAAAGTGTGCATGTGACAGGCACCATAAGGTTATGTTTAATAAGTTATGTTTATTTATTTTCAATTCAGAAAGTAAAAATAATTCCATTATTTGCAGATGAGACTAATCTTTTAAAGAACCAAAGAAAACAAAGAAATGAAGAATTCAAGAGCACAACTGGACTGCAAAAAAGAAATTAAACAACATTTATGAACACTGAATAAGGAAAAAGAAATAAATAAATACATGACAAAGGATAAATGTGCTCGTAAAGAAAGTGTGATAACATATCTATATGTGTTTATATGTAAATACTGCAAAAGATTAAAAAAATGTTTCTCAGAAAGTGAATTTATATTGCACTCTGCTACTGTAATATCAAATAAAAATCATAATGGCTCTAGAAGTCTCTAGAACATCTTGTCTAATAGTAGAACAGTATGAGTTACTTACTGGTAGCATTATCCATGCATTAGCTCAGTCTACGGACCTTGTGGTTGGAGATGAATCCCAGCAAGCCGGCAGTGTGATCTCTACGTATAATGGAACTATTTTGTTCGTTGAACAGCTTCATGATAGAGATAGCTCACGCATCAGAAACACAGTATCTATAACTGTAAATGCACTATCGGCTGTGCTGTCCTTTTAGCAGTGAAGCTATCTGGCCCCAGCAGCTCTTTAAATACCAGCACTCATCAGCCTGTCTGGCTGTTGGTCCAGGATGAGGAAAGACTACATCAAAGCCAAGAATATAAAGCACAGGTCATAAATGCTGCTTTATGTACTCCCTCCCTGTCTCTCTCTGACCTAATGGCCCATACAAAGTCAGAATCATAAACAAATCAGCATGACACAAGGTACTTCGAGGCGTGTGTTTGCTTGTCCAGATAGAATAAGCATGAGGCAACTTCTTATTCATCATAATGTGTTAAAACTCACTGAGCAAATCCCTGCAATCTTTATGTAAATATAGCTAAAGAAATCACACAATACTGCAGATTTCCACAACTGCAAACTGCCCTTTGGCAAAATAAAAACAAGTTTTGGTTTGAGTTTTTGATCTCTGACCATCCTTTATTGGTCTTGAAGAGAAAAAGAGACTGGTATCCATCCATCTTTGTATATGAAAACACTAAAAAAGGTTTTGTAGATTTAATATGCTTAAAATAGGAGGATTTTGGTTAAAAAAATACACAAGATGAAAGGAGAGAAATCTTAATACTATGTTAACTGCAAGTCTTTAAGATTATTCCAAAACATACAATAGACAGATTTCTTGTTTCCTCCCCCCGTGACACTATAACTCCACCTGACCACCAAAACTATTGTTATTTAATGCTTTTATCACAACTCTGCACAAAACGTCCAAGATATTCAGTACTACGCCATCCTGTATCTGCATCTTATGAAAGGATTCCAACCAATGATTCATGTCACCAGCCAATCAAGACAGCAGATATATGTAAAGAAAAATAATAATAATAATTCACCTGCTGCTGGTAAATCTCATCTCTTTGTGTAGCACTCCACTAACTTCCCCTGCCAACAGCGCGCTCAACATCTTTGCTTTATGGCCTGAGGCAGCTGCATGGAAATGACCTGTCAACCTCATAAACCACTCTATCAAGGGACTCTCTTATAGCTACAGCGTAATGTTCTCCACATGGGGTGCTTTCATAAATGAGGAATCATTCATTTTGCTCTTTGACATGTGTAGAACCTGTTTTTTGGTCAAAACTATATCTAACGCATGTGTTTTCACTTATCCTGATTAAAGTTGTGCTCAGGTTGAAGGTGTGCAGAGCTATGTCTGGTATTACATGAGGGCTCCGGACTCCGTGCACCAATAGGAATCATAAAAGTGTAATTTGTTCAACCTGGGCGAGCGCAATAAAGCTAATAGACTGAGGAGGATGTCAATCAAACACAGTTAGCACACTAACTCACACACACTCATCCAAAATAAATAAAAGCATGGGTTTTTCAGTGTTTTTTGAACGTCGGTCAGTCGGTCGGTCTGTCCACCGTTTTGGTCCCGACTTAAATATCTCAAGAGCTATTGGATGGATTCACTTCATGTCTTATGCTACGGTTTAGAGACACTGTGTTTGATTGTCATGATAAGAGAACAAGATGTTATAGCCACTACTTAAAGATCTTACCCTGTTTCACCTGTAACTGCTTACATCAGCTATACCAGCACTTTATCAATGTTTCCACGAAGGTCTTCTTAATGCTAATCTGTCACTGTGGTATGGTGGATAGAGGCTAACAGTTCAGTCAGGCGGGCGCTCGGCTGTGAGGCGGCAAATAAAACTGGCAACCTGTTCAGCTTGTTTCCAGCAAGCTGCTCTCCCCATCTGTATGATGTGCTGCCTGCCTTGATGGTTTCACACCGGGGGCGAACTTGTTTATCACAGAGCTTAGACAAATGACGGACTGCTGCAAGAAAAGCTTTGGCACTGTGAAGTCTATAAGAGTTATTGGGAATAATACACTATAAAAGAGTTTTGGAAATATCATGTTTTTCTCTAAGAATATGCAAATTTATATTTTAAAAAAAAGTTTACAAAATGAACAGGTGCTTTGTTCAGCTTCCATTTTTAAATTACATTAATTATATGATTAAATCACTTGTCAGCATGTGGATCATTGTCCTAAATTTTCTCAAGGGGACATAGTAGAGCATGGCACTTCTCTATATATAGCTACACTTAATTCCCTGCAACTGTATATCTATTACACTATAAAGGCTACTTGGCTGTGTAATGTTTTTTTTGTTCCTTAACTGTACACTCTGCCCATTTGTCTCTATACAGCCAAAGCCTGTTGAATCTATAATAATCACACACAACTACAAGATGGCCTCCGCTAATATATCTGTAATATATTCCAGAGAACCAAGGTCCTCTGTTTGGACTGACCTTTAAGAATCAAGACAGAACAAATCTAACACCCCTCCAGGCTTTTAATCCACCTGAACCGGTGAACTTTTGCAGCTCTTTCTGATCTGCGATCTAGGAAACTTCCTGGAACGAGCAGGTCTAATCCAGATGTGTTAAGAGGTGGACCAAGGCCTTCAGCATTCATACGCAAGGCAGCTGTTATTTGGATGTTTCGGCATATGCTCTTTTAAAAATGGCATCGTTCCAGACACTAAGGTCAAGATGAGATCCCTCTCTTCCACACCTGTCATCACTGTTCCATTACGTCGACAACAGACGACAGCAGATCGGCCCGGCATGGAAAAACTGGATGGTGAAGGAATATGAGTAATAATCTTGTTGTTTCACTACATCAGATATATTTACTGAGTGATGAGTGTGTCTAAGTGCATTAAATTCACATGAAGATTATTTACAGAGACACCCCGCACAAAACGACAACACCAACAGTTCTTTTTAGCCTGGACAGTCAAAATGAATATTGAACAACTGAACGACAGGTGGACTACAATTACGGCTGTGTTGCTAGGCAACCCCGCGCATCAAGTGGACATATGAATTTGAACCTTTTCCACACAAATTGCAGCTCAATTATGCTGTAATTTGTGCAGAGAAGGCAAAGAAATGGACAAAAGGCACATTTGACTGAATGGTCGATGAGGAAACATGGGCAACGCGGACTGTAGAATGTGCAGAGAGCTGGAGGTGAGTGAACTCTGGTTGATTTATGTCTCATGACATAAGACACATTCATCTCTGCACTGAAACATGGATGAACACCATTAAAGAATAAGGTATCTACCATGTAGACCAATGTGTCTGTCCCCTAAGGCTGCAAGGAAGTTATGTGTTACATTCTGCATTGTGTTGTTGCTCTGGGCACTGAATCTATTTATTGGAGACGATGGTGATTCTAGGTGGGTCTGATGGTGACACTGGGTACACGCTGTCAACTGTTTCTGGTGAGTGTAATGTGGACTCAAAACCATTTTACAGACAAAGCAATTAATCTAGATAATACTTTATTAATACTTTTTATTAATTAATTATTAAAATAATTGGCAGAATATTTGATAATTAAAATAATGTTTTGTTGCTGCCCTAATATACACACTGAATCTATTAGGTGTAGCTTGATGTGGCTATGAGGAGCAGGTGAACTGTAAGTTATAAACTGATTAAATGGCCAACTTAAAGTAAAAGCTTTTCTTATTTGTGTGAACATGTTCCTCTCCGCGGTGTATTTCAAACAAGAGTGACGAAGAGCTCTTCATTACTAAAGGAGCTCAAGGAAAAACATGACTCACCTGGAGGGCTCAATGAAGTATGAATGTACACAACAGGGACACACAGGGTGCAGTCAAGACATTAACATTCACAAACACACACAACTTGACCCTCACAACTACACAAAAAGACACATCCACACTTTAGACACTGTCGTATATGCATGCCATATAGACGTAACTGTGTTGGCATACCTAATCCCACAGCACGAGTGGTATTTTGTGTGTCAGATCTCTATGACAAGGTCATTTGCAAATGTTCCACTCATATAATGCAGTGATTCACTCTGTTAGGTAAGTGAGTGGGAGCTGTTAAGAGGGTGCATATTTTTAGTCTCTACATTTCCCTTGAACTCAACTGGTACTGGGAACATGGGATGACACTGTATGTGTGTATGAACACACTTATATAGACAATGTATAGCCGTGAATAAGCCCTGAAATAATAAAACACATTCAACTTTTAAATTAGTAAGGCAATAATGTGTTTATATGGTGCAAAAAAGATAATTAAAGGGTTTATATGGCGTAAAAGAATTTGAATTGTGTTCAGATTTTTTAATTTTGTTTCCAAATTCAAATAGCAATTCAAAAGTAGTTAATGGTTCAGTGTGTAACATTT